ATATATAATAATTCCAGCATATAAACTTTGGATGATATTGCCTGTTTTTAGACTGAATCCCGTTATAAACATAAACAAATTAACTAAAAAATCTCAATAAGCTTATTAAATATATAACTGACTTTGTCATCTTAGGTTACGTGTATTACTGAGGTCTTTATGATTAATGATTAAAGTTAGAATCAACTTTCCTTTGAAGTAAAATAAATAAAAAATACGCAGTGTCTGAGCAGCACGCGGTGAAATGTCAACTCTTACCGGCCGCTCGGCTCGTTGTGAGGGGAGGCAGTGGCTTCGTTGGTCGGACTCTGTGGTGACCGGTCGCCTCGGCGCAGGAGCTCAGTCGCTCTGCTCCAAATGACTTTACAAACCCGATCCAAGCCGTCTTCCGGTGCGTTTGGATGAATCCAGGTGGAACGCGGAAACGGGACGAAAGCCCTGAAGACCAGTTTGACCATTTCTGGACGCTTCCCGGGATAATTGTCTTCAAAAACTGCGTCTTTGTTTTTTCTCCCTTTTCTCCTTTTTTTGTTTAAATGGAACTATATCCGGTGTGATCTCGCTGCCATAGCAACTGGTTGCATTTCCAGAATGGAAACTTAACAACAGGGTGGGATTTATGGAACTCTGCTGAACCAAAGGGTTTCATTGAAATAAGCAGAGAGAAGGGAAACACCTGCGACATGAACACACGAGGAGAATCTGTGGAACATCAGAAACAGCGACCAGTGGGAGAATAAATGTTTTAATGTTGCATGAAGAGGATTTCTGACCTTCATCGTTGTCCCACATTGTCAGGGTCTGAAGGCCGACGCCCCCCTTTACGCGAGCGCGTCCAAATGCGTAAAACTGAATTCCATTAGTCACGTGAGGAAAGTAGCAATGAAATTTGATTCTGAAGGCCGAGGTTCCGGCCAGTTAAGCATCAATTTCACGTTTAGTGAGCAGAATGTGAACATCTATGTTAAAGTGCCAGGCTTTTTAGTGATTGGTCCTAATGCCTACAGACAATGGCCCCCAAGTCACACCATAATAAAATGGAACATGATGGACTTTACTGCTACTACTACTACTACTACTACTACTACTACTACTACTACTACTACTACTATTATTATTATTATTAT